TACACTTTACGGCGTAACCCGTGAAGTGCTTTGAGACGTGATAAGATGCTGTATCGAATGCCAGACTTATTATCATTATTATTATTATTATTGGGGTTCAAGCATTGCCATCTCCACAGTGCCATCCAGTGGCTGCTATGCTGCAGTTACTGAAGGGTGGGGGGGGTGTGTGTGTATGTGTATGTGTGTGTGTGTGTGGGGTGGGGGGGGGGATTTAATTCACCGCGTAGGGTGGACAGTCACACTCTCTCCTCTCTCTCTCTCGCTTGTGAGTCGGGAGGATGTGGGTTCCAGCTCCGCCCGCAGTAGGACTTGGAATCACACAGCCTTCAGCTGACTTTCCAATACAGCGCCGGGGGGGGGGGGGGGGGGGGGGTTTGCGTCGTCAGAGGTGTCGTCCTTCAGATGAGGCGTTAAACTGAGGTCCCATTTGAGTGGATGTTAAAGATCCTGTGTGCGCTGTTGGAAAAGAAAAAGGAGTTTCTCTCTCAGTCTGTCTCCCCCTTTCTCGCTCTCTCTCGGTGTCCTGCCCGACAATCCCCCAAATAAAATCAGTCGCTCCTTCCACGGCCGTTCGCGGGGACCCTGCTGTGCGCAAACCGGCTCCCGCAAAATACACAGTCACTACACTTTACAGTATGTCCCGCGAAGCGCTTTGAGACGTGATTAGGTACCTGTATCAAATGCAAGGATTATTATTATTATTATCATGACAACGGACTTGTAGTTGGGTGTGGGGTCGGGTTCCTGGCGAGGGGGTGGCGGGGGGGGGGGGGGGTGGGGGTTGGTCGCACATGAGTATTTAAAGTGCGGAGGGAATGTAAATGTTGCTGTCTGCGTTACGCAGCATTGAGAACGGAAGCGAAAGGTCGCTGAGGGTGGGAGGTGGGGCGTGGGGAGCTCTTTCTCACGTGTGCGATGTTTGGTTGGCGTTGGCTGTTGCTGTGGTTAAAGGCTTTGGGTGTGAAGTAGGCTCCCAGCCACCGTCAGACGTCAGTAATGCGGGCGGGCGGTTGCTATGGAGGTGGGAGGGAGGGATGCGGGTCCAAGGGGAGAGGCAGAAAATGGTGAGAGAGGGGGTGCGAGGGCGGGGAGGAAGCAACGGAGATCAGACAGACTGACGGCCAGAGAACGCAGGAGAGAGAGAGAGAGAGAGAGAGGGAGGAGGAGAGCAACAGATGTCAAATAAATAGATAAACAGAAAGTGCGTGAAAGAGGGGGAGGGAGACAGGCGGATAGACAGAGAGTGGGGGAGAGATGGAGAGAGCGGGGGGGGAGGGAGACGGGCGGACGGGCGGACAGAGAGGAGAGGAGGAATGCTGCTGATGCTTCTCTCTCTCTCTCTCTCTCTCTCTCACTCTCTCACTCTCTAACGCTGATCAACGCCAGGAGAGACGAGAGGACACGTTTACAAGCTCCCTCCTTCCCCTCGCTCTCTCTCTCTCTCCCTCCTTCCCTCCCCGGCGCACGGCACAGTCACGCAGCAGTTCCTCTCCGAGACTGCACTATTTTCATTATCTCGTTGCCGTGTTTCGCCCCAAAACGCACAGTCACTACACTTCACGGCATATCCCGTGAAGCGCTTTGAGACGTCTCGACGACGTGAAAAGGTGCTGCGCCCAATGCAAGGACAATTATTATTATTATTATTACTACTATCCCTCAGCTCCGTTTCTGATCCTCCCGCCGAGAAACCTACTAAAATATTTATTAGAAAAAGAAAATTAACGAGAGGGAAATAAGTAACTGTTTTATTTCCACGGCACGATCCCAAAGCCATGTCCCCGCCTTTTCACCCCCGTCCACTATCAGCAGTTAAAGTTGAGCCACACACATCTATAAAGCATCTCCCAGATCTCTCTCAGCACACACTTTATACGTAAGTTACCGCCCTTATTACTCACTCTGCGCCTTAGCGAAAAATAAAGAGAGCGGAACCTATTTAATTGTACCGACAACAGCAAAAAAAAGTTCGCGCCGTTTCTTTGTCTGTTACAAAATGGATTTTAATATCAACATTTAATATTATTTCATATTGAAATTATGCCGATTTCTGTTCGACGCACTGTTTGGGGTGGGAGAAAAATGGATGGTTCCCTTTTCAATAACTTTCTAGACGTTGTTCCGTAAGAGGTCCCAAGGCGTTGGAGAGGGGTGCGAAGGAGATTGACGAGGACGGTACCAGGAGTGAGGGGCTTCAGTTATCAGGAGAGGAGAGAGAAGCTCGGATTATTCTCCTTGGAGCAGAGAAGGTTAAGAGGAGATTTAATAGAAGTTTTCAAAATGATGAGGGGGTTCGATAGGGTGAACAAGAGAAACTACTCCCACTGGCGGGTGGGTCGGTGACCCGAGGACACCGTAAAATAGTTGTTAAAAGACACAGAGGGCGGGTGAGGAGAAAGATTTTTACACAGCGAGTTGTTGGGATCTGGAATTCATTGCCTGAAAGGTCGGTTCAATAATAAGTTTTAAGAGAGAAGTAGATGATTATTTGGGGAGGACACGTTTGCAGGGCTATGGGGAGAGAGCGGGGGAGTGGGGTTGATCAGGGCTATGGGGAGAGAGAGTGGGGAGTGGGGTTGATCAGGGCTATGGGGAGAGAGCGGGGGAGTGGGGCTGATCAGGGCTATGGGGAGAGAGTGGGGGAGTGGGGTTGATCAGGGCTCTGGGGAGAGCGCAGGGGGGAGTGGGGTTGATCAGGGCTATGGGGAGAGAGCGGGGGAGTGGGGTTGATCAGGGCTATGGGGAGAGAGTGGGGGAGTGGGGTTGATCAGGGCTATAGGAGAGCGGGGGGAGTGGGGTTGATCAGGGCTATGGGGGGAGAGCGGGGGAGTGGGGTTGATCAGGGCTATGGGGAGAGAGTGCGGGAGTGGGGTTGATCAGGGCTATGGGGAGAGAGCGGGGGAGTGGGGTTGATCAGGGCTATGGGGAGAGAGCGGGGGAGTGGGGTTGATCAGGGCTATGGGGAGAGAGCGGGGGAGTGGGGTTGATCAGGGCTATGGGGAGAGAGCGGGGGAGTGGGGTTGATCAGGGCTATGGGAGAGAGTGGGGTTGATCAGGGCTATGGGGAGAGAGCGGGAGAGTGGGGTTGATCAGGGCTATGGGGAGAGAGCGGGGGTGGGGTTGATCAGGGCTATGGGGAGAGAGCGGGGAGTGGGGTTGATCAGGGCTATGGGGAGAGCGCGGGGGAGTGGGGTTGATCAGCGCTATGGGGAGAGCGCGGGGGAGTGGGGTTGATCAGGGCTATGGGGAGAGCGCGGGGGAGTGGGGTTGATCAGGGCTATGGGGAGAGAGCGGGGGGTGGGGGGAGAGTGGGTTTGATTCGGAAGCTCTTTTCAAAGAGCGGTGCGGACCCGATGGGCCGAATGGCCTCCTTCTGCGCTGTATAATTCTCGGACTCTTAAGAGCGCACAGAGTTGTTTAAAAACAAGGGGGAGCCGTCCATTTTTGCGTCGTAACTTTTTTTTTTCGCGCGAATTTTCGAATTTTGATCCGTCCGAAAGAACGATAGAGCCAAAACGTGTCAACAAACGTCAGTGGACGGATGTTTTTTTTTGTAAAAGACAAA